CAAAAAATCAAATGAGGCTGTATTTCACCAGTCCCAACACATACAGAAAATTACAAAAGCCACGAGGAAGTTATTTTCCTGACAGGAAAATACTGACAGGATTATACTGAACCCCATCTTATCATTTTCCTGAATTTGCTTATGTGTAAGGAAAGCCAGGATTGAGCAGGGCAAACTCCCTCATTCACAGGAAGAAACAGCTTCTGGTGGGACTGGAAGGGCAGACACTGAGATCCCTCCTCAGTCCTAAACCAAAGCACACACCAAAGCCATTGAGGGGTCTTGGAAATCCTCTGCTGGTGTTAGACCTGTCCCAAAGTGTGCAGAAGGAAATGCTGGAATAACTGGCACCCACAGCAGAAGCACAGGAGGGTCACCAAGATGCCACATGTGCCAGGGGTGGCTTCCTGGGCTGTGTTCCTGACAGGGACCTTGGGGCATCCTCTGGATCACCTCAGCTTGGGCATCCCTAAGCTGCTTTGAGGGTGCAACAGCACATCCAGCTTCAGGGGACAGTGACAGCAGCACAGCATGTGCTAAACAAAACAGGGACAAGAAACAGAAGGCTGAGCAGCCACTCCTGCAAAACCAGTCCATTCACACACCCAAGTGAGAAAGGCAGCCTGAGCAGTCAGAGGGGAAAGAGAGATTTGGGAAAAACAGCCTTGAAAAGGACTCAGACTGGAGAACCTCTCGGCCTCACTTCACATTAATAAAGCCTCAAGCACAGATGGTGCTGCTGGTATATTAAAATAAATGATAGGCTATCAGGGAGCAGCCTGGCTGAAACCCTTTATTACAGCCCAGGCTCAGATGAGGCTGTGATTAGAATTACTCAAAAACAAGGGGGTGAAAAAAGAAAAAAATAAAGCAAAAGCCTCCAGTAATTCTCACCATATCGACCCCTGTCTGTGATTAATGTTGATACTCAGCATCTCTGCAAAACAACAACCGCTGGAGGTTTGAGGTAATTATTTTATTTGTCAGACAAAAAATCTGAGCAATTTGCTTATTTCCAATATATGTTCCTAACTCACTCTCAGGCAGAGCAGAACTTCTACATATTTATGTATAACTCTGTTTACAGAGAGAGAGAGAGCATCCTTCCAGGAAATAACTTGGATCTCCTTTGATTCTCAAGGGGTCTTAATCCGAGTGAACACCAGAGAGGAGACAAGTTTAGCATCAGTCATTTCTGGTTTGCACTGTCCAAGTTGAGAATCTACATTCTCATTAGGAAGGAACATTTTAAAATTACCCTCTGTCTCCCTGCTACTTGTTGCAAAAAGCTCTTTTGCTCCATTTTTCTCTCACCAGCTCTGCCACGGGGCCAACATTTTAACCCCAAAGATCAGCCTCTGACATAAATCCCCAGAAGGACAGAGGCAATTCAAGGCTGATGAACCTCCACATTCCCCTCTCCATTTTCTGAATGCCATGAAAACAGACAGATTTTTGCACTGCAGTATAGATCACTATTAGGAAATAAATGTGATTCCCCAACGTAAGGACAAGCCTCTTTTTACACGGCAAAGGCCACCCAGACAGGCACACAAAGGAAAAATGAGTAACTCTCACCCAGGGATGGCACAGCCCTGCCTGTGTTCTTCAATCAAGCTAAGTGACTGCCAAAATCCACAGGGAGAGAGGGGCTCCAAACCAGCTCCTGTGTCTAGATGGAGCCAAGTTTTCTGACATGTAGAAACTGAAGGGTGGGAGAAGAGGCAAAGCACACTGAGAAGTGACACATGTGTACACTGGAACTGCAGGGGTGGGAAAGGACAAGGATTACTGCAGATTAAAGAGAGAGCAAAGACACTTTGATTTACATTCCAGCAGGGCTGACAGGCCAGGGGACAGGCAACCCAAGGCAGCTGACAGCCCAGAAGGATTCCTGCCTCACCACGCTGGAGGAAGCCAGATGGAGCTTGGGCAGCAGATGCAGCCCAGCCTTCAGAGCACAGAGCAGGCTAATGGACCCTATCCTTGAATCCAGGTAAAAAAAAACCTCAAGATAAATTACCTGGAGCAGTAAATGCAAAGTCATGTTCCAAGGCAGACATATCCTAACTTTAAAGGATGTGTCAAACAGATGGATAGAGGCAGACAGCTGGGGAAGGTCAGAAACGCTCAGACACGTGCCTGAGTTTCCCAACTTGGCTTTCTTGGGCTGACAAGAGCAACTGGAGGTGCAGCAGAAAGGCTTTTGGAAGGAGTCTTCCTGTGCTGGGAAAGTCCAGGAGCCTGGTGCTGCTGCAGCTGCCCTTCTGTGCTGCCCAGCAAGCCAAGGAGGGAGAATTCCATAGAATCATTAACGCTGGAAAAGGTGGCAAAGATCATCAAGTCCAACCACCATTTTCATCACTAAATCATATCCATGTTTTTTGAGCACTTCCAGGCCTGGTGACACAATCTGGGCAACCTGTTTCAGATCTTGAAAGCCCTTTTGGTGAAGGGTTCCCTTTAGTAAACCTTCCCTAATGCTCTGTGTGCACAGACATCACCCAAGACCCCCCTACCTGAGCCGTGCAGGGAGTCTTCCACAGATGCTTCCACCAGAGAAGCTGCTGAATCCTCCTTGCAGGTACTTCAGGGAATATTTGCCTAGCAGGGTAGTGGGGATTAGGGCAGGCAGGATTGGCAGCAGCCCTCAGACCTGGATTCATCCATGTATCCCTGCATCCATTAGAAAGTTTCCCCAGTCACTGGGACCTCTCACACCAACCATGTCAGCCATGGTGACCAAAATTCCTTCTTTCCTCCCACAACCTGGCAGATGATTTCTCCATGCCTCCGTGCCAACTCTCTCCAAACTGAAGAAAAAGAAGCAGAAATGCCGTGGATGGACAGGATCTCTTCACTCCTCACTGCAATAGCCAGCAACTTCAGTTTAATTCTTTGTCTGATGGGGTTCCAACCTCTCCGTGGGCAGGGAGAGGGAAGGCAGAGCCAAAACTGAGAAAATGCCTCTAAATCCTCCCCCAGCCCCTGGAGGCAGCACTTAAGGCCTGGTAATAAATGGGCTTAGTCTTCCTCTGACACAGAATGCATAAACTTTGTGGAAGGGCTGGTATTTCAAAGTAATGTATCCAAGGATGTTTTAGTGCTGCTGTTTCCTGATACACTCCAACAAAAAAATGTCAGGGTAAAATATCAGCCTGATTATTGTGAGCAACAGTTTTGTGTCACCTGTTTCTGACAGCAGAGCTGGGAATCACCAAGACACCCTCCAATCTTCTGATTTACTCATCAGATCATAGGACTGTTTACTTTGAAAAGCCTCTCAAAGATCAAGACCGACCATTCCCCCAGCACTGCCAAGGCACCACTAACCCGTGTCCCCAAGTGCCACACCATACAGCTTTTAAATCCCTCCAGGGGTGTTTTTAAATCCCTCCAACCACTGCCCTCGTCTCTGTTCCCTTCCCTTAGCCTTGATCTCTGCTTTGAGGACAAGAGCTGAGGTGGCTCCAGCTCATCAGGGGCTCATGCTCCGTGGCTGGAATCCCCTCATCCCAGTTCACGGAGCAGACACACTGTTCCTGTCCTCCCTTTGAAACACACTGGCCTCATTGCCAAGGGCACAGCAGTCTTGTGCTGGATGGAAAAGGGAAGAGCACAAAAGGGTGGTAGGTCAGGGCCACAGGGCTCAGACTTGTCCAAGGTTTGTGTCTCCTGGAAGGTCCCACTGACCAAGATCACAGGGCTGAGCAAGGAGCAAGCAGGCTGAAGAAAGAAGGAATGTTAGAGAGACACACTGCCCAAAACACCTTGGAATTAGATGTGAGGAGGAGCAAAAGCCATCTCTGATGTGAATTGTCCCCTCTTGGGAGCTGCTCTGCTGTTGTAACAGCAAATGTCACCCTGAGCTGGCAGAGAGATCACCACTGCTCACAGACAGGATGCAGAATTCCCTCTGACAAGACAAACCTGATTAAATATGAGTCTGCTCCAGGATTAAGATGCAACCATGAACAATCTCTTAGGTAAAAAAGAAGCAATTCCAAAGGGAGTGCACATCCCTCACGAGGGACAGAAACCTGAGTTAGGCACAGATTGATGGTGGGAGCTTCACTGCTGCTTGGGAGAGGGAAGGGGAGCTAGCAAGGAACATATGGAACTGTATAAATTACTTGGAGCACCCAGAAAGACAGGAAAAATAATCATCTCTGTTCCTGAGACTGCTCATTTCGGTCTGCAGCCGTCTGGAACCCAGACCTGGCATGGCCAGTGCTTGGTGCCACATAAATACCTATGATGGGGCAGGATTGCTGCAGGCAGCTGCACTTGGAACATGTGAGGAAGGAAAATTTGCTGGTTATGCTCCTCATCCTGGCTCCTGCCAGCCTCTCCCACCTGGGATTCCTATGGACTGTCAGGATGGTGACTCTCTGAGTGATCCTTTGCTTCCATCCCAGGGAGAAATGCAGGTGTGCCCATCCTGCCTCCAGCTGGGAAAGGCAATGCCCAAGCACTGATTCAATTCCCCTCCTTCAAATTCCCACTCTGCCAAAGGCTCCCTGGTGAAACCAGAGGGGTCACGGGGCCCCTCTGTGGCTTTGCTCACCACCTTTAAAACACAGATGAGCCTTTCCAGGGTGATTAAGGAGATAAATGCATTAAAGATTAAAAGGCACTCCAATGTTCCAATGCCACGAGCTGTAAGAGTACTTAAAATAGATCCATTTGGGGCAGCAATTAAAGAACATATTACTAATTTCTGAGTCTCAGCTCCTGCCTTCCTAATGCTGGTTATTTTTGCCCATAAAAGCATTAATCCTATCTTCCTGTAAAAATGACATTTCAAACATTCATCATCTTCCACTACTGTCCTTCTGCTCCTCTGCCTCACCATCATTAACCAGAGGCATCTGTTCTATGGTTTATGCAGTGTAATTTGTGACCACAGATCTGCAATACAATGAGAGCTATTTTCTCTGTAAGTAGCTGCTCAGAGCTGCAAAAATTTTTTATCCATTATAAAAAAAAAAACCAAAAACCACATTCCAAAAGTGTGTTTATTATGCAAGTGCCTTGTCATTACCTGAGAGAGTAATACGACCTTCCATTATGGTAAGAACCAATGTCCTACCCACAAAAATACATGAAACACAGACATGGTTTATGTTTTGGAAACTACATGTCGAGAATTATATTGTCACACTTCATAACTTCTTCCTAAATTGCTGTTTGTTTGGGGTTTTTTTAATCTCTAAATCCTATCCACAGGGATGGTCCAAACTCCCCTGTGTACAATTCCTCCATGGGCAGATGGAAATCAAAAACAAATGCTGTGGAACCAGGCAACTCAGGTGACTTCTCATAAGCTAAAACTCTGTATTTTTTTTATATATATATATAATATATACCCTCTGGTATTGCCTTAAACAGGTGGGTGCAAGAAACACACCAATGGGTCAGCTATGGGCAAAAATGGATTTAGGCTGAAACAGAGAATAAAAAATTGTACCTTGCATACATACAAACCACCACAGACATTAAATTCAGATGCAATGTGGAACTGCAGTTTGATGAAGACAAAGGTGAAAAATCATGTTAAAAACATACAAAAATTACATCAAGTGGAGCCCAAATGGAGAAAACACCAACTCCCTACATTTTAAATAAACAAAGCAAACTACTGCATGGCCCAGTGTGGTAAAATTAAAGGCTTAGTAAATTGCCCTAGATCTCCTGCTGTTACCTACTGTGGATAGCAGGAGTTACTCACCCTGGGATGTGGGTGATAGGCAAGCACCAAGGCATCAGAAAATAGCTTGGAAGTCTGAGGCCATTTTCCTCTGGGCTCATTTTTGTTAAATTAAGAATTCTCACAGAACTGGGAGAAGAAGCCACCACCAACAGAAGCAGAGGGGTTTGATCTCCTGTAGAGCAAAGACCACCTGCTCTAAGATGCATGAAGAGTAACAAAGGACCATGAACTGAATGATACCAGCTTTGAACCCACCTCAACCAACTGCAGCTCTCCTGGTAACGCAACACAAAAGATGGAGCAGGGGAAAATCAGGTATTTTTATCTATTTCCTGAAAATTCAAGTTATACACCTGGTCTTTGTGTTCCTCTGACGCTCTCCAGGCGTTCAGCGTTTGCCTACCACACACCACCTACACACAAATCAAGAAACAAGTACAGAGACACCAAAGTCACCTCACAGAGAATGCAGACAGGTCCAAAAGTGCTGCTCTGTCCTTCACTGGCAACCTGTGAAAGAAAAGCACTTGAACTGGACACCAAAACCAAACCCAAATCATATTCAGACCTTGCTTCCCCAGAGCTGCAGGCCTCCAGGACAGCTTTTGGAGGGTTAAATTCTATTATATAAATGCCCAGGTTCTCTGGTTTCTGCTTTACTCTTTGTCTATATATTGCTGGTTAGAGAGCCAGTTGATGGGCTGTAAAACTGTCAGTCTCGTTACTGGTGCTTATAAATGACTTTTGCTCAGCTGGAGTTAATGTAAGACCATCTGACTGCCCAGAACTGACATTTTTAATGATTCTGTTCCTCCAGCGCCTTCTCATTGACCACTACAAAAATCCAAACTGTCTCTTGCTCTGCCAAGCTGTTTTGTGGATCAAATTCCTTGTTCTCCAGGGATTTGCAGCATGTCAGCCATCAGAACAAGCAAACTCAATAATAACTGAGCTGAGAACAGCAATTCCAACACTTCTGGGCTCTTCTGCACTATAGATTTTAGCGTTAAATGTCAAAATTCTGAAGGCTGGAGGACAGAAGCATCCTCAGAAAAAAGACACAAGTGCAAAGTATTTTAAAAATGGAAAAATGCCAACTGTAAAAGTTTGGTGCTTGGATGTTGTTCCCTCACTCTGTTCTGTGTTGGGTACTGTCACCTTCCTTCAGGTCTCACTCTCCAATGCTGTGTCCCAGGTGAAGTAGAACAACTTCCCCTTCCAAACCCTGCTTAATTTACACAATAAGGGAAATTCTTTACATCTCAGCACTATTTAGGGAAGGAAGAGACACACAGAGCTTTTCTGGGGATGTCCAGCAGTTACAAAGCTGTCCCCAAATTAAAAGAACTGGATTTTCAAAGACAAAAATCACCTAGAGAAAAAAGGTCTCGAAGCAAAATAGCCTGTGCATCCATCCAGCAGATCTAAGGCTTAGCAAGCATTTTACAGCGAGTCTGGTCTCTCCAGGTGATCCAGCAGAACAATGGGAGCAGCTCCTCCAGCTTCCTGACAGGTTTGGGGGATTTCTTGTGTTCTTAACCACCACTTCCTGCTGACACAAGCTGTGTGCTTTTTCCACCTCTCCTGCTCTCCCAAGTACACTCCATGAAGAAGAACACAGGACTAGGAATGGACACAGAGGTAGCCTGATGTGTGCCCATCAATCCAGAGCTGGGAACCAGGGCAGAAATCCTCACAAATGAGGAGAGGAAGGGCTACACTCCTGCAGAAGCATCTCCCATTCCTCACTACTCCCAGGAAATCAGCTCTCTCATCCCCTGGGTTCAGCTCCTTCCATGGCCTTAGCTTATCAGTGTGAGCTCATACAAGTCCTTGGTTTTCACAGAATCACAGAATGTCTTGGTTCAGAAGGGATCTTAAAGATCATTTAGCTCAAATCTCCTCATCTATTTCCATTTTCTTTGTGCCTCTAAAACATACATAATTTCCCTTTCTCTTAGGAGTAGCACACTGCAGATGGGGAAGGAGCAGTGTCACAGAGCCACTGAGGTCACCTAGACAGGCAAAGAATAAATGGCTCTTTACATAAGTGTGTGCCTGCTGGAATCAGAGGGGTGAGTCACGAGCAGAGAGGCTGATCCCACTGCATCCCCTCCTTTTTTTGTCAGCACAGCACTGCACAAAAGTCCCATCCAATTCCTAAAAATGAACTCAGCTCAGCCACAGCCTCATCCTCTCCCTCATGGATGCTTGCACTGACTGCAACAGCCTAAAAACAAAATGCAATCCAAACCACTTGGATCTGGTGACTTCCAGAGAGCACCAAAATCCTCGTCTGCCCAGTCCTTCAGGTGCTCAGACCCATCACTCTGATGCTGACCCAACTCACACTTCACAGGGGCTCCTCCAATGTGCATGGAAGTCAATAAAACACAAGTTGGGGAGAAGAACCCTGCCTTTTACCACATAGTCTGTTTATTCCTTGACTGAAACTTTTGGAAAGCTGTGCTTTCCAGGCTCTGAGGAACAGCACCTGCCCCTGGTCATTGCTTTCTCACCTGCCTGCTGTAGCAGATATGAAATTCCTACCCTGAGCTGGAAATGCAGCTGTGGCTCCAGTCCAGACCTGCATAAACTCTGAGCTGAGTGTGACACAGAAGCTCCTCTGTAACCCCAAAGGTCATGGCAAACATTGTCCTGTACAACAGCACCACAAACCTCCTTCACCCAGCTTACCAAAGACAACCAGACACCCTTGTGGACTCGGAATTATTCCTCTGCCACAGCTCCTGTGCAGCCTGGTGGGACAGCAGGACATGTGAAACAGGCCTGACACAGCCACCACCCAACAATCCTGTGTTTTTCAAGCAGGATTTAGTGTGACAGGGAGGAATCAGTCCTGCTGCAAACTCAATCTCCCCTCAAAGGCCAGAGTTCTGGAAACACAACCTTTGATTCAATTCAGGAAGCCAACATCACTAAAGCAGGCTGGAAACAGCATCAGAGGAGAACCTCTGGGTTAAATCAGAATTGCACAGTCAGGGGAAGTGATGGAAATCACACAGATATATGTAACAGACAACATACAAAAGACTTTGGGTTTTTTTCATTTGATGAGCTTCTCAGAACAGCTAACTCTAATAGTCAGATATAAAGACCTTCTGTCTAGATGTGGTTCAGCTTCCACAAAATCACCTGAAACGATCCCACTGCATTTGACTGGGCTTGGCTTGGGAACTGAGTATGCTGGGAAATTACTCCAGAGCCTTTTGCCAAGCTGGACAAATTCCCTTCTAAGATCTCCCTTGTCCCATACCAGCTTTGGCTTGCATCACATGGACTTCACACATATAAACACTGACTCTTGGGTGAAGTAATTAAACACAATCATTAAACACAGGGCCTATACAAACAGCAGGAATAAATTGCTTAAAGCTCTATAGAGGCTTTGCAGGTTTGTCTTCACATTGCCAGCACAGGCTCCCCTGGCTGGACCACGTACCTCTCAAAAGGTCACAAAAGTGGAACTCAGACAAATGCTGCTGCAGTAACAAACGGGCTGATGAGCAAATACCCCACTCACTTTGTCCCCACGGGACAAATATCCCTGCACCAACCCATCTTGGGCAAAGGGAACTGAAATTTCCCCAGGAATCTCTTCTTAGGAGTTATTTTTTGTCCATCCCTGGAGCAAGACAACACTAAGCTCTGGGAATGAAGGAGCAGGTTTGGAATATCCATATTCTCCCCAAAATGCCAAGTCAGGTCACACTGCCTGGGACACATCCCAGTGTCACCAGTAATCACTGGTGAACTGGGTTTCCTCATGAATGGACCTGCTTTGTGTTTAGCTTGAGAGCCAAGCCACGGCTGGTAGGAGGGACTGTCTCATGCAGAGTGAAGAGCAGGAGATGTGAAAGGTAAAGGAAGAAGGGGCTTTTCTCTTACCCAGACCCTGGTTCTGCTGCTCCCACTCAATGGTGTCAGGAACCTGGTAGGATACCCCAGCCAGCTGAGCCACAGGGTTTTCCAGGCCAGCCAGGGGCTCCTGGGAGGTCTCTCCTGGAAGTGTGAAGCCTGGCAGCTCCGTGTCACCCTCCATGCTTTCATCCATCAGGTCAATGTCTTTGTCCTCCTCGTCTTCCTCTTCCTCCTCTTCTTCTTCCTCCTCCTCTTCTTCATCCTCTTCCTCTTCCTCACCCTCTGGCCAGGGAGACAGAAAAGGAACATCAGGAACCATCCCACCAGGCAGAAGGTTCACAGATCCCCCTAGGTGAGCACCAGGCAGAGCAGCTGAACACACTTGTGCTGTTCTCTGACAGCAAAGACACCCACAGGGCTTCGTTTGGAGGAGCTCATCACCACTGGGAGCTGCTGGGGGACAAGGAGATGTTGTCTCAGACCCTCAAATTAGCAGGAAATACAGAAATTTTTGGCTTCCTGGCAGCAGGGTGCAAACAAGGATGTGGATGTGTACCAACACATCTGTAACTGCAGAGCTCACTGCTTAAGCAATGACAGCTCAAGTGAGAGCTCCTTCCCTGACTGCCACTCTTGGAGGCAGCTCTAAGTAACCCTTAACTCTTACTGAGGCTTTCCCAGCTCTGGAAAGGGCTTGGCTTTCAAGACCAGCTTGCTCCAAGTCCCATCCCACCTGACCTTGGGAAGTGTTGGAAAGAAGGCAGCGTGGCCAACGCTTCACAGGAGAGCTGATATTTTAATTTGAGGAAATTTCTATGAATTCAGTGCAAGGTCTCCCCACCCATTGAAGGAGGGGGTTGAAACAAAATGATCTTTAAAGTCCCTTTCAACCAAAACCATTCTGTGACTCCATGAATTTTCTGCTACAGCAGAGAGCCATTTATTCCAAAACTGTAACTGTTAACATATGGAAAAATAAATATTTAAGCTGTATTTCATCACTAGAATCTAAAATGGCAACACAGGAACCACTGTACTGGATCAAACCAAAGGTTTTCTTCTGTCCACATTCTATTTCCAGCCACAACTGGAAAATTTCAGATGCTGAAGAAGTCTAGAGCAGGGCAAATACAGAACCAATTTTCCCACATTTTCCCAAGTTACCAAAGTCTCAGGGACATCCTATGCCAGAATTTGCACTGGAGCTATTTAATAGCTCCTGATGGAGCCACCCACCAGGGAAAGGTAATATCTGGAACAATGGCATGCTTTGAACTTCTTACAGTTAGTTTTTCAAGGCTAAGAATCCAAACATTGCATTAATGCACTTTTATGTAATTTATACCAACTCTGCTCAGCCCTGTAGAAGAATTCCCCCCTGGTGCAGTCAGACTGGGAGAGCCCATCACCCTGCATCCAGGCATTAAAAACCAACAATCAAAAACCAACAATCCAGCCAAATCACCCTTTGTTCTCCAAATATCCCTGTAGTTGTACCTCATCCAGGCTGGTGGCAATCCATCCTGGATTAAATGGCCCCCACAGACTGGAATATCATATGAGGTGAGAATATGAGAAATCAGAGCATGTTATAAACCCACTGATCCAGTGTGCTGTGCCATGGCATCTCCTTCCCCTGTAACTCAGGGATTTGCTTCCAAACACTGCACGTTTTCCTCAGCTCAGCAGACAAGACAATCCTGGTCACTGCCTTTCTGTCCTAGCCCTGTGTTCCATACAAATGAGCTGCTGTTGGGATTTAGCTGCATCATGCTGCTAGAGCATGCCTTTTGGTACCTGGAAAGATCATTCCTGCCTCAATGACACCACACAGAGCATCTAATGGAGCTCACAGGGATGTAGTTAGCCCCTTAAATTCCCACTGCATTTTACAGGCAGTTTCTGTATTATAATGTGCCCGTCATTTAGAGCTGAGATCAGAATTTTCTCTGTCAAAATGCATGTTTGCATATAAAACACACAGCTGTGGAGCTGAGAGTGGAGCCTGGAGAGTGCTCACAGGAAACCTGCAAAGAAAAGTTAATGTAGGTCTTTTCCCTCTGCTCAGAGCAAGACAGCTATCAACAATCCCAAAATTTAACAGCAGAGACTCTGAGCAGCCAGAACACCAGAGAAGAGGAACACAAACAGAGCTTTTCCCTAGACTGGGCGGAAAAACCAGCCAAGAGAGAACAGGCATCGGATTTTTATCTCTGTAAAACTACTCTGGGACAAGGGTTTTAGAAGCTTCTCGTGATTTTTAGCAATCCAAGTGACACACACCTGCCAGGATCCAGCTCTGAAGCCACAGATAGCCATCTCCCTGTCTCCAAAGCCTCGAAGGCAGCCAAGCTGAACACCCAAATTGAAAGTGCTGAGACTACTTATCACATCTGATGATCACCAAGCTCCATCCATCACCACGCAGCCACAGCAGAAAGCTGTGAATAATGAGATCCTGGCAGCACAGCCGCTGCAAGGGGGAAGGAAAAGGCTCCCAAGCTTGTTTCCTTCTCCTCTCTGGCTCATTCCCACAACTGAAAACAGCTTTTTAAGCCCCATCCCGAAATGCCAACAGCTTGCCTTGCTGCAAGGTGCAGTGCAGAGCACCACTTGGTGGTGACAAGGAGGAATCTGCATTCCAAAAAATAAACCCCACAAACTTCTCAAGTGTGGGATTTCAGGAGCAGAGGCACAACAGGCAGCCGTGGGCAGGCTGTGCATAAGGCTTGGCAGTCTCAGAAGGTGGAAAATGGAAGTGAGCAGCACACAGCTGAACCTCAAGCTGGAGGTTTGTGCTTCACACAACAGACTTCTACAAAAGTCACGTTTCCCCGTTTAATTCTCCTCCTTTTGGCCTTCAAAAGACCTCAGCAGCAGATTGAAAGAGAACTATTGGGAAAGACTGAATGTAGCAAGGAGGGAAAGTGCAAAGCCCAGCAGATTCAGAAATAATCCAGAGTTTTATGGGCATTTGCAGCTCAATGTGAGCTATTTTTGTGTATCATGGAATGGTTTAGGTTGGAAAAACCCTGTAGGATTACTGAGTCCAGCTGTTAATCCAGTTAAACCACATCCCCACGTGCCACATTCACACATCTTGGAGATCTCTCCAGGGATGGGGACTGGGCAGCCTGGCACAATGCCTGACCATCCTTTTGTTAAAGAAATTTTTCCTGATGTCCAATCTACACAGCCCCTGGTGCAGCTTGAGGCTGTTTTTTCTTGGCCTATCATTTGTTTTTGTAGTTATTAATATGTGTTATTGTATCATTGTAGGGGAGGCCCAAGGAAACAAGTCTGAAATAAAATAACTTGTTCTAAACAGAGTTTTTTGGGGAATTCCAACTTTATTAATAGAAACAGGCAGCACTGGGCTTTATCATGGGACTCTGAATGGATCCACAAGTGACACAGATGAGATCCAGAGGTTGGGATTTGCTGTTTCAGGGGGCCAAAAGCACCTTGTGCTTGCTTCAAATGTGAGTTTTTTCACCACAAAAACTACACATCCACGATGACATCTGTGGCTTAGGCAGGAGAAATGAGACCACCTCATGCCTCCCTTGTGAGGCACTTCCCTGACCCAGCAGGAACCCACAATCTGTGGAATCTGAAGAAATTGGACAATTCCCAGCATCCAGCAGCTGAAAGCCTCAGACTCAAGTTTTGGAAGTGTGATGGCTCAAAATAAGCTGTAGCTGAAGCCACTGGGCTCATAACCTTGCTGAAGGTAAATGGGGCTACACCAAGCTTCAGCTGAAGAAAACTTCACTGCAGAATGATGTTTCTACATTTAGATATTTTCCATTAATGTTTGCAAGCACTTGTATCCCTCAGGAGAGCCAGGAAACCATCATTTGTCAGGTTGAACACACAGGAGAAAGATCTTGCTGTGCCCTGAGCAGCGAGAGGCTCGCAGTGGAAGGTGACAGATTCACTCACAGGCACAAACTGAATTCAAAGCACAACAAAAAACAAAAAAACAACACAAGGAACTTTTCCTTTTTCTTTTCCTAAAAAGGAAAGAAGTTGCAGGGCAAAACCTGGAGCTGTCATTTACACTGACCTCTCCCTTCCCAGCCTCCCTCACACCAAACTCAATTCATAAAGATGTCTAAATGATACCAGAGGACTGCTGTGATCCATGACAGTTTGAGCTGTGATTTTTTTATGTGGTGTTCAGTGCTGCAGCCACCCCCATGTGCTAAAAACACCATGTAAATACATAAATAATGCTGTGGAAATAACAGGATTAGGTATGGGTGGGGTCCATGACTCCCATCTCTTGCCAGAGCAGGAGGGAGAGACATTAAGAAGCCTCTGCCAAGTGTTTTCTCCCACTGAGGTTCACTTTCTGCAGTGCTTTTGTGATCACAGCTGACTGTCAAGGCAGGAAGGCCTTTCTAGGACAACTCTTTCATTATTAATGTGTTGCCTTCACGTGCTCAGTCACAATGTCACCATCCAACAGCTCCAAAAGGCTGCCAAGGGCCTCTGAGAGCCTGGAAGGAGAGAGCTGGTAGGAAGGTGGACAGGCTCTCACCAAGGAGTGCTCCTGGAAAAAGTGCTGTGCCACAGTGGGACAACACAGCCAGGCACAGAAACTCTGCCAAGCATCAGGGTAAATCCCCCCTGGGGTGAGTTCTGCTAAGCCAAGCCATCCAAGCTATTTGCAGGATGTGGTGTTGTCTTAAATGCTGGGCTCTGTTAAAAAAAAAAAAAATCAATCTCTTGGGAAGTTTCAGCATCTGGGCAATGGCACAGAGACAGGGAAAGGGACTGCAGGGAGGAATGCACTTCTTGGGTCTGACCCTACCACACAAAGCAGGGTAACATAACCCTACCCACAGAAGCTTCAAGAGAAGAGGAATTTACACATCACAGAATCGTTAAGGCTGGAAAAGCTCTCAGATCATCAAGTCAAACCATCCCCCAGCACTGCCAGGGCCACCAGCCCAAGTCCCCAAGTGCCACATCCACCCATCTCTTAAATCCCTCCAGGGCTGATGACTCCAGCCCTGCCCTGGGCAGCCTGTGCCGTGCCTGACCACCCCTTCAGTGATTAAATTTTGCCCTAATATCCAATCTGGTGGAACTTAAGTTTGTTTTCCCTTGTCCAAGTTCAAGAATTGCCTGCTAAAACAAAAACAAACTGCATCTACAGCAGCATTCACCTCAAAATTGCTCTCACACTGAGCCAGGCTAGAGTCAGTTTAACAGCACAAGACTATTTTAAAGGGGAAAAAATACCCAAAGTGCTGCAGAATACACTGCATGTA